GGTCGGAATGCGCGGTCAAAAATTGACACGCATGCATTCGAATGCTTTGCAGAAAGATTGACGATTAAATACCGTCTTTCCGTTGGCAGAGAACTCTACAGCTTTGAGCGTGGTTTCCCGTGATAATTTTGGCATTTAGCATTTGGATAGAAAACCTTGTTTTAAAAAAACGTTTAAGTTTTCAAAGACCATTTTTAACAAGAAATGTGTAACCAGAGGCGAAGCGTCTATATAATCAAATAATCACTACTTCCCTTCCTAATTTTGAAACATTGTCGCAGTCAAATTCACCCATAGACGTAAACCTCATAAATTAAATGTAAAAAGACGTTCATAATCACCAATGAACAATAGACTATGCCTAACCTTCAAAACCGTTTCATTGCCACAGAAATAGCCTGTTCGCCCCTATCGGGCCACTCCATAAGCAGTCACAAGCTTTGATTAAGTAAGCTTAAAGTGAGGCTGGAAGAGTCAACCAATAGAGTTGAAGATGTAAGGGGAACTAACTCCTAATAATCCTTTGACTGCTGCTACTACTGCTAATGCTTGTTTTTTCCCCTGTAATTTTTAACGTCCTATAATCCGATCATGACCTCGACTATGACACCGGCTCCTGGCCGCAAAAAGCTAGACAAAAAAAAACAGTCAAATGCGAAATAAAAAATTAGCTGTCTGGTATTACATGCCATTGTAGTAGTGACATCTATGCTTCTTTCCTTGGTGTTCGTGTGTTCAAATCTAAAGATAAATTTAAGGCTAGTTAGAATAAATATTTAATTAAATACTTTCCCAATTATTTTAGCGGTTGAACAAGCATACAACTACAACATGAATTCAGGATTTGCCTTCATTCACAACTCAAAGTTGCCGCCTCCAGTGCCAGCAAGATTCTTGTGACTTGTGAGAGTGTGATATCTCCAGGCCCTATCTGGTCCCATTTCACTTTGATTACCCTGTCAAACAAGTCGGCCTTCGCCCCTGTGTATAACATACCCGCTAAAAAAGGTACCAATAGGAAGAACAGTTCTTTTTGTATTAGAATAAAGTCATCGGCTTGGAATTATTTTTCATGAATCATTCCGCGAAACTACCGGGAGCACTCAGTATACTACAGTATTGAGCCGACTCGCTCGCACTACGCAGGGAGGGCTGATACAGCGCTGGCCGGGACAACGTTCAGTTTTGTTGTTTTTTAAAATCAAAATAATGACAGATCATGGTGTTTGAGGGAATAAAATCCTGATTTGTAATGATCTCACAGTCTTTAAAATATTAGGCTTCAATTCTTTATTATAGTGATTGTACTCTGTTAATGTAGAGATGTTTGGTGCACTTGGTACTATTTTATTATCTGTCAAATACGGGGTTGCAGCCAGTTAGCGACTTCAGCAATATTTGATTATTATATTAAATTGAAACAGCTGCCATTCTCTTAAAAATTGACTGAGAGTGAGAGGTAAAAGTGTGGTACTTTTTTTTCTTCTCCTTCTGGAAGTGTCTACGTATTCCCCGATTGGGATCTACGTACTCTTGGTGTCTAGGTGGACCCCAAAAATGGTGGATTGTGATTGGCTCGCTGAGCGAGCGGCGAGCGGTAGTTTACATTGATTACAATGCAAGGCAAGGCTACTGAACATCTCGGGCGGTGTGTCGATCTAGTGTTACTATAATTTATTCCTTTTAGCCCAGCGAGAGAGTATTTAATGAATAAACGTATCTAGATCTAGAATCAAGATCTAGATTTTGTTGTGCACCCAGCCAAGAGTGTGCAGTTCGGAAAGTAGATGATCTAAATCTAGTGGTGACCTGGTGGGCGAATGACCGAAGAGCGACTCTTGACTACTCGCCTGTGAATTGGCGGAGACACACTATCACTAGGCCTATCATGCAACTTGATTCACAGGTCTACTATCATAATTATCAACAGTAGGCCTACTTGCTTCTGTAGGCCTGGAGTCTACTAGTTTCAAATGTCTTCTTTTACTTTTTCGGTGCACGGTTTCGGCACTCCTGTACAATTGCGGTCCTGTTTGTATACATGACGGCCATTGTGGCAGTGAATCTAGATTTCTAGATCTAGATCTAGAATCTAGATCTATAATCTAGATCCAAGAATATCTAGATCTAGATCTCTAGATTTTAGGTTCTAGATAGACAACATAATCTAGATATAGATCTAGATCTATTTTAGATATAAAATCTAGAAGTCTAGATCTAGATCTAATCTTAATTCAGTTTAGATCTAAATACGAAACACGTAAGAATTAATGTACTACAGGGGCACTTAGATCTAGATCTAGGCCTAGATCTAGATTACAGTGGAATCCTGTTATAACGAGAGGGAGGGGACCGGTGCGAAATGTCCGTTATAGCAGGATTCTCGTTGTAAGGGATTCAGTAATAAATTCAAGGGAAATAGTAAAGTAGGTCTAATCCAAGAGTTTGGTGTTCTCTTTATTCCTTTTTGTATTTCCCCTAGTGATTTTGTTCAACATGATCTCAAGGTCTTACTTGATCAAAAATCGAATCAGGTTTCTTTCTCTTGCCCTAGCAATATTGACAGCTCGGCGTTGGCGATCAGAAAGAAGGGGCTCTGGCTCTAGGCTAACTCGCCCGCTGTGTTGTCCCCCACCCCACCCCACCACACCTTGTGGT